ACCTAGTATACCCTTCATCCAACTTCCTCTCATGTCAACATCTTATATAACCACAGTACCTTTATGAAAACTAAGAAATTAATACTGGTATAGCATTTTTTGTTGTTGTTAATCCTCAACTGAGGATATTTTTCCATTGATTTTTCTTTTAGAGAGTGGAAAGGATGGGGAGAAACAGAGAGAAAGAAACATCGATGTGAGATAGACAAATCAATTGGTTGCCTCCTGTACACACCCCGGCCAGAGCTGGGGATCAAACCTGAAAACCGTGTATGTGCCCTTCACTGGGACTCAAACCCTCGACCCTTTGGTGCATGGGTGAATGCTCTAACCACTGAGACACACTGGCCAGGGCTCAATACTATATATATATTTAATTGATTTCAGAGAGGGAGAGGGAAGGAGAGAGAGAAACATCGATGATAAGAGAATCACTGATCAGCTGCCTCCTGCACACCCCTTACTGGGGATCAAGCCCGCAACCTGGGCATATGCCCTGACAGGAAATCAAACCCTGACCTCCTTGTTCATAGGAAGATGCTCAACCACTGAGCCATACTGGTCAGGCCCAATAATCTATATTTATAAAAGGCTAAGTGACCGTCTGACTGTCCGGTAGGTATGACGTGCACTGACCACCAGGGGCAGACACAACACAGGAGCTATCGAGCTTCGGTGACTTTGCAGCTGCGGTTCTCAGGTGACGCACCCCAGAACCAGAGAGGAGGGAGCCCGATTCCTCGTGGGGTCAGGCGATTTCACCTTTGGCTGTGGGTTATGTTGTTGCTGGGGCACTGTCGGCCCCGAATCTGGTTTACTGCACACTTGCATTTGCGTTCCACACCCTGTATGACAGCAACTTTGCTAGTACCCTCTCGTACTCCTGGACCCCTTGGGGGATATCGGAGAGCCGGTTTCGGCCTGATCTTTGCAGGCCAGGCCGAGGGACCCCACCTGCCAGAGGGACCCCTCTCACTCTGCAGACACCCTTTGAGCTGCAGCGGGGGGGACCGTGGAAGGTTGGCTCCAAGGCGTGTCTGGGCCATCTTGCCCAGTCCCGCCCCGCTGGCCACCTTCTAATTAATTTCCTTTCAATGTGAATGAATCTATGCCAGGCCACTAGTATTTTTAATAATAAAATATAAATACTGCTCTGGCCAGGTAGCTCAGTTAGTTAGAACATCATTCCAGGGGAGAGAAGATGGCGGCGATATAGGCAGACGCGTCCCAGGTCGTGTCCCGGAGCAAATGGAGTGAGCAGCTGAAACTAATAGCACCCACCCCGAGTTGGCGAAAGGGCTCAGCTGGTGAGACGGTTTGCAGCCGGGAAGAGCAGAACTCCCCTGGAAAGGTAAAAGGAACCCAGGGATTTGGGCAGGAAAGTTTGCCGGACCTCTGAGCCCAGACGGTAGGAGGGAGACCGCGTGGCAGACAGCCGCGTCCCTTGGGGCAGGCACAGCCCCTGACTCGGGAGGGGAGATCCGCGGGATTCCTGGCG